AAAAAAAAAAAAAAAACAAAACAAAACAAAAAAAACAAAATTTGCAAAATAACTTAATCACAGAAATTGAACAACTGGATAAGTAATTGAATTCAATGAATTCATTATATAACCAATACAAAATAGATCGAGGTCCAACTCAACAAACTATCTAACCTTAACAGCACGAAGACATATTTCATGAAATAAGCTTTCTGAACTTCACCTCAGCCGGTGCAAAAATATACCTTAAGATGAATAATTTCGAAGTGATATGACAAAACACCAAACTCAACGTCCCCAAATTCAAAACCTGCCAGTTTCATTCGACTTACAATCTCACAACCTGTCAAAATAATCTTTAGAAAGTAACAATATCACAATAAAGAAACAAAAAAAACCACCCCATAATCAGAACCCCAAGCCATAATCTGTGAAGACGCAACAATCTCAATGATTCTCTCATCTTATCCAAACCAATGACAACACAACACATTGATTCTTGGTTATATACTCCTACACATCACTAAACTCTCTCGACAAAAAGGAAGCAATTCATTTACTCTTCCATTCGGTTGTCTTCCGTTTGCTGTTTGGAAACCTTGACCTTGGTCTTAGGCAAGGTGAGTGAGGGATCCTTTTGTAGAGCAGAAGGAGCTTTGACCAAGTTAATGCCCTGGCTCAGTTCATTCATTGCCTCTCTTGCCAACTGGGCCTTCTTTCCTTTCATCCTGTCCAAGTTTCACACGTGCAAATAAAAGTTAAACACAATGGCCAATCACAAGTCTTCGCAGGAGAAATGGGAAATTATTTTTAAAACGGAAAAATCCTCTTGATGTTGTGTTTCTTGTTATGGAATTTCACCCTCAGGAGAAGAATGTAATAGATCAAATACAACCTCGATTGGGTATTTGTCAATTTGATAGACAATTAAAGTTTTTATTAGTAAGTAAAAAATAAATTAGAAAGGAAAAATAACCTCTTGGCATGGTGTCTGGCCTCCCTATCAACTCTGACTTTATCAATCTTCTTAATGGCCTTGAGAGTGCTCTCCGTGACATTTCTGTCGTATCTTTCAGGTCTATTTCTCTTCCTCTCAAACTCAAATGTCGCATCCTTCGAAATTTGAATGAAAAGACAACAGATTTTGAAATAAGAACCAAATTCTATTGCTGAGAAGATTGGGAAAAACAGCTTCAAAATAAGGTTCACTAATAATATTTACCTGAGTCATGTCTTTTCCATGCAATCTTCTGTAAGCCTTGGTCCATTTTACTTTGCGTGGATTTCTCTTCATCTTGAAGTTTTTGTGGCATTTTGATCGACAAAATCTAAAAATCTACAAAATCAAAGTACAAAGGAGTTCTGCAATTTAAAATGTATAAATGCAAAACAAAACATAACGGCTCAATAAATAATCATCTAAGAGGCAATCTTTTCAGTGAACCCACAGTTCTGTGAGAAATTTGTTCAATCTTTTAGTTCAACAACAGGAAAACCAAATTGAAAAATGGCAAAACACCAAACATACAATTCACATAATCACCAGACATAAAATGCTCTCGGACAATGGGTGTAAAATCTGATGAATGCAACAACACGAGCCATATACACATGCCGGCATGCAAGAACATCAAATAATCAATCAAAACCATGAAAGCATCCCTCTCACAACAAACCAACGTTTGAATAACGAGAGCTTCACCTCCAAATCTAATATGTTACCACATATAGAGAAGCAATAGCAAGAAAAGTGGGATTTCGCTATAGAACATTCAACATCGATTTTTGCACATCGATTTTCACAAGTTAACCGCAAATCAACTAATATTTCAATTGCAGCTTAAAATCAATTTTACAGATGCTATTTAAAAAAAAAAATGTTTCAAGAAATCAAATTCATTTCAACACATCACTAATAATACATAACTACTAGCTTTTCATCTTCAGCATATTAAATCACACATTATCATACATCAAATCGGAGATTCCCTCTCCAACAAAACCGATTCCCTCTCCAACAAACAGCGATTCGAAAGATGTTGAAAAAAAAATACATAGAAAATAATAAAAATTCCTCTTTTTTTTTTTCACCTTTGCATCATTACGAACAAATTGAATCCCATGGCCTGGGTAAATCGTAGAAGAACAGAACCAGCACTTCTCCAACCTCATCTTAGTAGCGTCGTGTCAAAGGCACACTGCCCAGCTGCTTCAACAATAATTTGGCAGATCACAAGCAGCCGTCAAATGAATCAAATTACACTAACAATTGAATAACAAAATCTATATGCAGACAAAACTATGCACACTGAAAAGTATTTCGAGATAAAAAAAGAAATTTCGTGCAGATTCAGATTAGAGAGACACCGTACCTTCTATTGGGGCTAAGAGGCCAATGAGACAGTTGAACGGAGAGAGGGCCAGAGGGTTTAGGGTTTTAACTTTTATATATCGTGATGATACTCTAAAATCAAAAGCCCGGCCCGAAGTCCGACTTTGGAATTGACATAGTTATGTTTGGTAAGCCTAATAAGTTAGTTTTTATTTGGTAAGCCTAATAAGTTAGTTTTTATCTTATTTGGTTAGCTTATAAACTCTCTATTTAAAATAAAGCTGGTTTTGTAGGACGAGGTTTTTTTTTAAAAAGCTCGAATTTATTTCATTAGCTACTTTAGGTAGCTTTTCAAATAATCTAATTGAATTTTTTTATTTCAGCTAGTTTATCAGCTAATTTACCTAACACCTTTTATCATATAAGTTAGTTTTTCAGCTATAAGTCATAAGCTATAAGCTCAAAAATTACATATAAGCTATAAGCTAGTTTATCAGCTGTCAGCTAGCTTATAAGCTAGTTTTACCAAACATAGCCATAAGGTTTCCCGCGATAAGTTGGTTAGTTCGGTCAAAATTGACCTATTTGATTAGATAATAATAACTTTTTGATAGGCATGTTAATTAATAATTTTATAAATAATAATAAGAGTTATAATTTTTTTAAAAAATATTTCATAAAAATGCAGGATGTTTCTATTCAAAATAATATCTACACCTATAAAGACTCTTTGGTATTATAAGTCATAGTAGCTTTTGTAACTCATATTATATATTATTATTGTCCATAATCAATACTTAATATCAAATTATATTTTGATGTATAAATATATTTAACTTATTGATTCTATATTTTTTCTATTTTTAAAATTTGGATTGGTAGACAATTTTTTATTTAAAAAAATGTTGATATAAATATTTTGTATTTTATACGTGATATTAATATTAAATTATCAATAGTCAAAAAGGTTATTTCATATATACAAAAAAATGACACATCTAAAATCAGATAATTAATATGGTATATTATGAAGATTGATAACAAATAAGAAAGCAATTAAATTTTAAAACATATTTATAATTTATGTTGATTAAGGGCGTGCTTGTTTATAAAATAACACAAAAAAATGGTTTTTTTTTTTTTTTTGTGTTAAGTAGAATTTATTGGAAAATAGTTAGTATGATTAGTTGATAGTGGAATTTAAATAATGTACTAAAATAATATTTAAAATAAAATAATTAAAACTATTTGGTGTAAAAGTAGGAGATAAATGTTAGAAATGATAGGTAGTGAAAATTTATTTAAGTGGATGGATAGTGAATTAAAGTTGATGTGATGTGTATGAATAATTGAACGATATTATGAGGTTTAGTTAGATTTTGAATTGAGAGATTTTTCTTTAGTTTTTTTTTTTTTTTTTTTTTTTTTTTTTAGTTATTTTCTAAACAACTGCTAGTGCTACTTCTTTTGTGCGAACAAGCGCTTGCTTGCTTCTTTCGATGACCTCTGGCAGCGGAGGTCCTAGCCGTAGGCGAGACTGTTCTTCCGATTTGCCACCCTGGGCCAGTTCTTTTGGGAATCGAACTGGCGTCCTTTTTGGTGGAGTGCCTCGCTAACCGGCGTTCTTGGTGATTCACCGCTAGCAAACCACCCCAGTGGGGAGTGGACCCCAAAGGTCACTTTCCTAGTTAGATGTCGCCACAACTTTTCTCTGAGTTGATTCGTTACTTCTCCGACATTAATGTCGGTCGCATCTTTGTATGATATGCATATTCCTGCTTAACCGTAGTAGAATTGAGTTTTATCACAAATGGCGCCAATTTAATAAGAAACTACCTAATAACTCATGTTTGAACAGTCAGTTCTCTTTGGATCTTCGGAGCTTGCTTGGCCTTATCGTCCAAGTACTTGAAGCATCTGGAGGATTCCTGACGTAGAGCCTCCGGTGATCTAGTCAATCCCTCTTTTGTGTATAATGTATGTATGACGATGATGAATAAAACCTTAGTATAATGGTAATCATACTTTTACTTTTATAAGAGAATGTTCACCTCGTCCCACAAGAACTCTATCCTCTTAAGATAACTAGATATACACATACATTCTTGTGATATATATAGTTTCTTATCTTTCACATCCTTATGATCTTCACTATCATACTTTCATTAGGTCTCACGCGGTTAACGCCTCTACCAGCTTGTCATGTCGCACCTTCGGGTGAAAAGTTGCCCTCTGGATTTAGTAACAGCTCTATCCGAGGATTCAGATCGCCTAGGCCTTAGGTCGATAACTCGACCATTAGCCTTTAGGGACCTACTCCGATCTATTATCTCTAAGTCGAGCTAGGGGAACTCCAGTATAGAACCGAACTATATAAGAGCCCCGATTTAGGACCAAGCTCTCAATACTGTATGTCTGTATCAATATAAAAACAAAACCAAACCAAACCAAGACAATCTTATTATCAATTTCTCATAAAGCTTAATGCAGTAACCATTTGCTAATTTTGCTCCTTCAAACCTAGCAAAGGATCACATCTTTTTGACCAGCGACATCAACACGAACATGACACCTATTTCAAATTGACACCATCAAGTTCACAATGATTGATTCAGTTAAAAGATGAAAAGCACAAGAAATAGGTATCAGAAAACACAGACATAAGATCCGTAACTCAACAACAAAATCGCAAATAATGCTAAATTTGAAAGTAATAAAACTCAAGCATTTCTAGGAGCCCTTGAGTTATGCATCTCAACCACTTTTTTCCACGACTCACGGCTTGAGATCTCACCCCACCACCTCTCGACATTTTTCCTTGACGTAATAAGCTCCCTTCTATCAGTCTTACTCACCAAGTAATGTGCATTGGGCAGGTGAGAAAGATCGGCTAGCGTGAACTCGTCACCAGCCAAGAACCTACTCTCTCCAAGCCTTTTCTCATACACGTCAAGAACATTGACGAGTTTAGCTTCATTTTGCTTGATCAGATCCTCATCTTGCTTAATTTTCATCATGGGTGCAAAGGCAAGTTGAAAAACGAGCACAGAGCTTGGCAGGTTGAAGCTTTGCCCCTCGGCCTCTAACCACTGGTCGATGGACGCTTTTTCCAAAGGATTTGTGCCGTATAGCCCTTTGTTCCCTTGTGTGGCGTATTTGTCGCATATGTATCTTAATATGGCTCTAGATTCTGTTTTATCACAAAGACAACAGAGAAAAACTGATGAGTCTAAATACGACCAACCACACAGGAGAAAGTATGGCTATCCAAGACAATATTAAAAAACATATGGCTATCCAAGACAATAATTAAACAACTTATTTCATTTGTTTGCGGCCATTTTCTGGGAAGGACTTCCCAAGAATTTATGATGGCATAAGCAGCTAAAACAATTTGAGTCTTATAACAAGCAAATAACCACCCTATCATTTCACAAATTTCCTTCCAAAAGAACAAAATAGGTTGAATTTTAGTTAACCCAAAAACTGAAGGCATGGGATAGGAATAAGGGTGTTTATTCGAGTCGAGCATGTTCGAGCTTGTGCTCATTTAATAACTGATCCGGCTCGGCTCGTTTAATGAACAAGCCGAAGGTTCATCTTGTTTAAGCACGTGAAAGCTCTACTACGCTCAGCTTGTTTAATAAATCCAAAATCTTAGACGAGCTGTATCCGAACAAATTTGGCCCGACCATTTCACTCAAAACCCATAGAAGATTTGAAGAAGTACATAAAAAAACTAGATGTTTACTAACAAACTCGACTGGGATCGTTTAAAAAGCTAATCGAGCTCGGCTGGAACTGAAACAAGGTGTATTTGCAAACAACTCACCTCGAATAACAGCGGTAGATGGGAAGAATCAGTAGGAAATTGAGTTGAAATTTCACAATTTTAGCTATGGGAGTCTCAACTACGAATAAAAAACGCCAGAAACAAACTCTGTAATTCACCAAATGGGAATATCAACAGAATGCTCTAAGACTAGTAAATGCTGCTGTAGATGCTTCATCTTTTCATTTTCCCCCAACCATCAACAATGTACTCAAGGCATAAAAATTACACAGTAAACCAGAATTAA